GTGTGTCTTTCATCAATCAACATTGATGGATAATTTCCAAATGAAATTATCGGTCAATTAATCCTTTGTCCACCAATTTGGATCTCGTTGTACAATTTGTGGGCAGCCTTGGGGTGTGGAATGTGGGCCAGCACAGGCGCCAAAACACCCTCAAAGAAAGCTCCCCAAAACATATATTATTTTTATGCTTTTGGCCTCAAGAAGAACGAGGAGGAGGAGGAAAAGGAAAAAAAACGAACCCGCCTCTTTATACATAATTTCTTCTCTATTTTCCACATTGGTTTGCGGAAGAATGGAATGGAAAAATGTGAAGAATGAAAAGGGAAAAAGTGTAGCAAAAACCACACAATTCTTCATGTTTCACTTTGTCCAGGCTTTGCGTTCTTATTTGCTGCTCACACAGTGTGGCTCTCGCTCGACTCCCATGTGGCATGGTAGGCCCGAAATCAATACTATTTCACCATGAACTGAGGCTATAAAGCTCAGAAAACCCCTATCATGAGTGGCGTCAGGAGGAGAACATCATCAGCATGACAACATCCCCAAATGGCTGAGAGACCAGTGCTAACTTTTCTCTATGGCGAGAGCTGAAAGGCGCACATAAGATAGAAAATTTTCATTCTATTCCCACATCGTGACATATAAACAAGGCATATTTTGTGTCTGTCTCTTTCTCTCGCTCATCACGCACTTTCCACTTGAACTTTTCTTCTCCATCTTTTGGCTGTTTGTGTGTGGGCCCTTTTGATGTCAGTTATAGAGAAGAGATGTACATGAGAAAAATTTGTGAAATGTTTCAGTGAGAGAGAAAATCTTCTAAGTGGTATAAAAGATGTGGTTTTCAGATTCTGAGCATCGTGCACAACTTTTCTCCACGCCAAAGCTGTGACGAAAGCACAACATTCGAAGGTCACTCCCGCAAAAGCACCCTCATTCACTCGTTCGCACGCACACACACACACAGTCTGGGCAGAGGGAAAGGCACTTTTCCACCGTGCTTTCGCATGAATTTTTAACCATGTCTGCCTTCATTCTCATTTTGGGGCCATTTTCTGTAATGGCACTTTGGAAATTCACACTAATAACAAACACTTGCTATTATTTTAAGTGTGTTTTTAAATCAGGGTGGAAAAAAGGGGGCGCTGGAGAACATACGTTACCCAGGGCGGAATTCATTTCAATTAGGCGTAGAGACGAGCTAATTGCGGGAGTCATAAAATTAGAATAACAAAAAAAGCCCAGAGTCTAACCTCAATTTGTCCTTAATTGAATGAATGTTATTCCAGAATGAAAACATGGGTTTTCATTGATATTCTCTCACTTCCGCGCGCGGGATTTCTCCTTTGCCATAATAAAAGGTCCTCTCTTGTTGGGTGAAATATACAAAATTCAAAACATGTTTTGAATATAACCTTGCCGGAAAATCTCAAACAATATCACACTTTCCACAACACAATTGCGAGATTCATTCACTTGCGTTGAGCTGTGCGAATAACGCCCATTATTCTCACTCGGTGTTGGAGCTTTGGCAGCAAATGGTCCGTCTTTTCGAAGGAGGCATCATTAATAATTATATCATGTGTATTAAAGGTACATAAAACATATCAAGAATATCATGAAACATCGTGACGAGCAGACATGAAATAATGATGATATAAAATATTTCCTCTGCTTTTTGATAAACATTTTTAATTAAATTGGCCATCTTCACGGAAATTTGGGGGAGGTGGAAAATAGGGGGAGAAGAAATGGCAAAGAAAATACATACAAATGAATAAATAAATTCATCTCCGCAAGCATTTGACACAAAGATCCCAACTTTGCTCTGGCAATGTACATATCATTGTGGACACCTTTACAATATTTACCGTCAATGTCGAGAGACCTAGAGAAGCCTTACAGCACTGAACGGATCAAATATGTACAATTTCTAATAAGTACAAATTACAGAAAATGCGAAATGTATTGAGTATCATATTGATACCATCATATATTTCTGAAGCTTCTACGATATCTTGCCGAGACGGGCGGAAAATCGGAAGCGACAGAGACGCAATAAACTCATATTATTCTACGATAAATCATCCAATTTGCCAATTTCGCCTTTTTCATACATCTTTAACTCCTTTCTTTCTCCCACCATTCTCCGACTCATTCACCTGTCAATGCTCATTACCAGTTGCCACTCGTTTGAACTTCTGTCTATTTACACAGACATGCTGCTGTTGAAATTAATTACAAGGGTAGAGATGATGTAAAAAATTTGCTCGATCTGTAATCCCACATGCCTTGTGGAAAATTGACGTGCTCTTTGAAACTCTTGTGTGAATGCTCTTTTGGGAGCTTTTTTGCTGGGCCCTCGCGAGTGAGAGCAGACTTTTCACGGAGAGAATGCGACTGCGAATGAAACTTGAGACAAGGCACTGTCACATCCATTTGAGATGTAAGCGAATTGATAGATAAAAAAGCTGTACAGCTATTTACTTCTCTATCCTCGTGTATTTACATGGCTTTACAAGAAGCTTCACGACAGAGACACTCGAAATTGAATAGAAATTTAAGATTTAAATACCAATTTCGCTGACTTCTTTCGTCGTCGGCAAAATTCTATTCTTGAGCTGAAAATTTGAATGTAAATTTTAATGACATATGCAAATTTCAGACACTGCGCAAAAAATCCGTTACACTTGAATAAACTGTCAGAGAGTTGTTGAAATGTTTTGAGATGTCAAAAGTTTGGCCATATAAAGATGTGACGCAAACTGCTTTTATATTAAATACATAATAAAGTGAGGCAAGTGACTTTTGGATGATTTGAATTTCTTCTTGACTTTCGGATTTTCTAAAATTAATAATTAAAGAATTAATAATAAATATTTAAGAATTTGAAAATATCATTGATTACATTTTTTGGAAAATCTAAGAAAATGTGAGAAAATCCATTATTGTTTGTTTTCCTGACAATGAATAAATGGACAAACCAAACTCCTTTACGTCAAGAATAAATTAGATTTTCAAGATTTTCTAATCCTAACCTCAATTCTGGGTTAGGATTTCTCAAGAAACTTGCTTTTTAGTTGTAATTCCATCAACGAGTTCAATTTATTGCACAATAATTATGAGTTAACGTGAATCATTACACTTATTTGCGTTATTCTTGGCTATTAATCGGTCAAACTTTGGTTTTTCGAATTTGTCCTTCTGAAGGATGGCGGCGCTATTGTAAATTCACGAGGGTATAAAATTCAATATGGACTGGGACGAAAAGTTGGACGTAGATTTCGTGTCTCTGGGCCATATATTTGAATTAATTTAATTCAGAGCACCCTGAGACCCACCTAAATAATGCATATATACATATAATATGTGTTAGGGATAAATGTATATATTATTCTATATGAATTGACTGTGCATATAAAATACATCATTCAAAATTATGTGTGTGTTTATCGGGGAGTCAGAAGGGCCAATGGAGGATCGTAAAATACCAAGAATAAGTACTTTCATTGTCGCATTTTTTTCTCTCTCTCTTTGCCGATGCCTTGCGGGCCGGCGAAAGTGTGAAATGCGCAATTTTTTTGGGAAATACTTTCGGTTTGGACTTTATGTGCTGCCGATAAAAGTGATGTGTGTTGGTGTGTGAGTGAAAAGAAGAGAAGAAAAAAATCAAAAGTCATCGAAATTGCAATCCAATAAAATGATAATGTTTTTCAATGCTCAATTGAGTGGAAATTTTCATGGTGACGAAGAGTGAGAGAGAGAGATGTTTGTGATGTTTTGAATGATTGGGGTTCTGCCTTCCTTTGCGTGGTATTTCCTCTCTTTGGACAGTTTGTATTGATCGATGGCTCCTCTTTTTCTAATTGTATCCACCATAGAAACTTCTATTTACCAATGAATGATAACTCTTGTCACAAAAACCTACATTTTACGTCTCCTCTCGAGTAGTATTGATTTTTTTCTGGCAATGTATAGTCCTAATAAAAGGAAAGTTTATTGCACAGAAGACAATTCTCTTTCGGGGGAGAAATGGGGAAAGTATGATGTGAATTGTGGGGGTTCTGGGTAATTAAAATGATAATGAAATCGAGGAGTTGTGTAATAAATCTGTGAATTGTCGGTTGGTTGAGTGACTGTTGAGGATTCAATCAAAAGAGTGGAAATTGCATGGCAATTTGCTATCTTTATTTTTGGCACTGGTTTAATTGGAAATCAATCGAGCATTTTGGGGGATATTTTGGGTAATTCTTGTGATGTGACCGATGTGACAGAAAATAAGATCATGGATTTTGACAGGTGTCGCTTTGACAGGTGTCAGAATTTATTAAAAAATCAAATTACAGGCGTTCGTTAGCATTTTGTGCGTAAGCAAATTCCAGCGAAATGAACCTTCTTTTGGCTAAATACGTAAGCAAATTTGCATAATTGATTGCTGATTGAGCGGAAGTTTAGCGAGAGAGAACTCCTCCTCGTCTTTAAGAGAATTTCCATGCAGGCTAGAAAATTGTGTGGCTGCAAATATTAATATTGAAAGCGCTCAAGGAGACTTTTTTCGCGAATAAAATTTATTGTCTGTCACATAATAAGTTTCTGATCACATATCTTGTGAGTCAGAGTCGATTAGGCACATTTGTAAATATTTTCGTGTGTTAGTTTTGCGGAATGTGTAGCTGAAAAAATACACTCATTCAAGAGAGCGGACTGTATAAAATGTGTGTGTTTGTATATTTTGAAGATATTGACAAAACGTGGTTTAAAAATATATTTGCATTGAAAACTAATTCCAATGATGTTGCTTTTCATGGTATCCGTGAACTTTTGTTGGAAGTTTTTTTCCCCACTGTTTCAATTTCTTGAGAGAAGAGGGACTTGATGGAAATTTGGCCCATTTCGATATGCGAAGACATCTGTGTCAATGCTTGCAATTTTATCATGCTATCATATTTGACATTGTTTATTTAAACTAATTTTGCGCTTCAATTTCTTACACCTTCTTACAGCAGCAATGGCAGAGAGGCGAGGAATCGCGCGGAGAAGAATAGGAGAGATAAGCTCAATAATTCAATACAAGAATTATCCGGAATGGTTCCACATGTGGCAGAATCGCCACGACGTGTCGATAAGACGGCAGTTTTACGCTTTTCTGCACATGGCCTGAGGATTGATTATGTGTTTGGCAAGTCGACAGGACCCTGTCAATTCCGCATTAAGCCACAGACTACGGATGCATTCTTGCGTCTCCTGGACAGCTTTCTCCTCACGCTCACCTGTCGAGGGCAGATTCTTCTCGTGTCGCCCAGCATTGAGCAACATCTAGGCCATTGTCAGGTGAGACAATTCACGCTCCATTTTGGATTGTGATCACACACCAAACTAGACGTATCGCATTTCAATATTTGATTGTAATTTATTATCACGTCCACGAGTGAGTGTGAGATTAAAAAGGGATTTTACTGTTTACTTCGGAATGCGTGACATTTTGCATATAAATTTTAATGAGTGCGCGCAAAACTTATTTTAGACTCACTGTGGAAATGCATATTGCAAATGAGAAAAGCCGTTTAATTTGCTTTTCGTGAGTTCGTGTCAATTTTCTCATTTCGCCAAGAGGCGCGTTGGGTAAAATAAATCCGCAGCTGTGGTAGAAAATAGAATAATTATACAATGCAATCAGGGTGGTTCACAGATGCTAATTGTGTGGTGGGAAAATTATAAGTTGTTGTGAAAGTCAATATGGAAAATCTGGTAGCAATTCTCAACTATATATTCTCCCTTTTTGGCGGCTTTTGACACACTCTGTGGTCAGTTAAAATTTATTTTATCTGCTAACCATATGAAAATGGTAATATTTTACTCATAATATTTACGTTTTATTTCATTTTCAAGAGAATTCATTTTATAAATTCTCATCTGGCAGAGTACAGATCGTGCATAAGACGTAAAATGTGCAACGCGTGTTCATTCTTAAAATTACGGCAATTGCAATTAAAGTATATTTGACGGGTTTTTGCCTCTGAAACTAAACTGAGAAGCACTCATAAAAAATGCATGAAAATAACGATTTATATTGCCCTTTCACGTGAAGACAGAGTCAATGTCAATGGGCAGAGCTTTCGAGTGGGCGGAGCCAAGAGTGGGATAACTAATTGGCTTCTGTTGCAATTGCAGACGGATCTCTATGGTCAGAGTATCTTGAACATCACACATCCCAATGATCACAGTCTCCTGAAGAGGCAACTCGTGCCGTCTGACCTGGAGAATCTCTTTGACATTCAGCCGGGTGATGATGGAATGGAACCGCAGCCGAGGAGCAAAGAGGAGGAGCAGGAAATTGACGAGAAGCTGAGGAAGGATCGCAGAGATTTCACAATAAGGTAAATTCATTGTCAAATAGAAGTGAATTGAGCAGTAATCACTTGATTTCCATGCTGTTTATGGCATAATTACATCTGTCCCAATGTATCTTTGCTAAGCTGAACAATACAAAGATTTCCCTTGCATTTTCTTCGACATAGATTAATTCTGGCTATATTTATCGTATTATTATACTATTCATAGCACTTGTTTGCAGAGTAATTTCAATTTGAGCCTTAAAGTCACGGAAAGATTTGTTTAATATGCCATCATTTTGATTAATATGCCATAAAGTTCTGAACTTAGGACATTAGCACGTCTGTTCTTATTTACGTTGAAATGAGAATAATCTATCATTTTTATGAATTGCTATGAAATCAAGATAAAATTTCGTGTTTTATAGATAGATAGATAGATATTTTAATTCGGCAGTAGGACAAGTTGTCCTCTCGGATACAGATTAATTTATAAAAAGAACAAAGAGGTTCTAAGCGCAATCCAATATGCGAGGAGCTGTGACGGTACTTTTCTGTTACTATCTGTTTTTACTTATTTTTGTGAGTCAATTTGTGCTTTTAGATAGTAATTTATCCGTTTGTGTTCCGATTTTGAACGTTTCCAGCTGAAAATTGTGTTAAAAAGAAATATTGGCAAATTTCAACATTATTTGCATAGAGATTTTAATTAATTTGCCTACCGAAGAGTGTCTTAAAGAGGAGAAAAACACGAAAATCTTGTCTCATTTTGAAAGAAATTCGTAGCCTGAATTCCTCCAGAATGAAAAAAATGATTGTTTGACTCTTGTGCTTCGCAGGCTGGCGCGAGCGGGTCCCAGATCGGAGCCCACGACGTACGAGGTCGTGCGCATCGACGGCTGTTTCCGGCGGGCGGACGCGGCGCCGCGTGGCCTAAAGACCAGCACCTTTCCCGGCGGGCTTCAACTGATCAGGCGAACGCGTGGCCGGGACGAGAGCCTGCCGCTGCACTCGATCAGCGGCAACGACATCGTCCTGGTGGCCATGGCGCGCGTGCTGAAGCCGCCGTCTATCTGTGATCGTCTCATCGAGGCGTGCAAGCATGAGTACAAGACGCGACACTTGATCGACGGGCGGATCGTGCAATGCGACCAGAGGATCTCAATTGTGGCCGGTTATCTCACGGAGGAAGTGTCCGGCCTCTCGCCATTCACGTTCATGCACAAGGATGACGTCCGCTGGGTCATGGTAGCTTTAAGACAAAGTGAGTGTTTTGCGGTGGAATTTATGCAAATTGCGCGGTTATTAATTAGAGGATTTTCCCATCACGCGTGACGGGGAATATTTATTGCATTTCTGTGCGACAGGAAGCAATATCAATGAAATTATAGGGATTTTATCAGATGGGAAAAATCTCATCTAAACGGAATCTCGTCAGCTCAAATGCTGGTCTATTTGGGTGACTATTTGAGGTGGACTAAAAATAGAAAAATGCATAATCGAGAAAATCTCATTTGCATATCATTCTCACATGTTATAATTTGAGAATGAAATTATGGGTGAAAGAGTGGATAAAGCATCTGGTTTTTTTGCCCAATGTCTCTCATTATAATATATTTAAATGGTTGGAGATTCTCTAATTTCGCGCGATTCAATTTTTGGCGTGGAAGAAAAACATGGAGAGAGAGAGAGAAATAGAGAAAGAGTTGTGGGAATTGAAAAATATGTGTTGTATTTTGCACATTTGACACTTCTTTTCAAATGCTTCGAAAGCCGTTTTCGCAATCAATTTGCAAATTTGTGTTTTGCAAGTAGAACTGTTTTGAGCCTTCTGCGGAGGAATGTGACATGTGCAATTTATTGATTTTCATTCCTAACGGACATTTTCTTTTGATACCACATTGACAGAGTCAGATAAAGAGACATTTAGTGAATAGATATTGAAATGAGTGACTGAATTGCTTCATTGAATTATGGATATAAAACATTTGTCAGGTGTTTTATTTCGATTTGTCTAGTATAAACAATGAAATTTGGTCAGTAAAATAGTATAATTTGGTTTATGAAGAATGAAACTTGCGATCTTATTCAACTTTATGCGTCTCGTCTTATAACTCACAAGCATATAAGATTTCTGGCGTAATGTGCAAATAAGGTGTTAAATTTACAATTTTAAAAATCTGCAATTCTTATTCAATGTATTCAATTTCTCCTCAATTTAAAGTATGTTTAATATAAATTTACAATTGCTGAGGAACTCAAGTTTTTCTGATTGCTGACAAAATAACACAAAGGGAAAGTTGAAGAGGGTTATTAAATTGAATTTACCCAGAAATCACTGGAAAAAGCTCGTTTTTTCCATCAAATTCCTTTGTATTGAAGTCAATGACCGGGAAAAGTGTCTCTTCCTCACCAATATTGACGGATTTCTCTGACATTTCATTGCAGTGTATGACTATAGTCGTCAATATGGTGAATCTTGTTACCGTCTCATCACGAGAACTGGCCAATTTATCTACCTCAGAACTCGGGGATTCCTCGAGATAGACAAGGAGACCAACAAAGTGCACTCATTCATCTGCATCAACACGCTCGTGTCGGAGGACGAGGGCAAGCGGCTGGTCAGGGAGATGAAGAAGAAGTTCTCCATCATCATCGATCCGGACGAGGTGGCGACTGGCGACACCGAGGAGCCCGGCGTGGAGAATCCCCACCAAATTGAACGTGCAATAATGAACCTCATCACGAATCTCGTGCCGCTCGAGGGCGTCACGGAGATTCCGGGGCATCCGGACTCGCCGGCGAGTGTGGGCAAGGACAGCCGCTACAGCAAGAGTCCGCCGCTGTCCATCATCGCGCCCAAGCCGAGCACCATCAAGACGTCCATCGTGAAGAGCCGCAGCGTCGTGGACGCGGCCACGAAGAACATCAAGTCGCCGGACTCCATGTCGTCCGTCAGCAGCCCGTGCTCGGACGTGCAGCGGCCGTCGGTGGTGCAGCGGACGCCCGGCAAGCGGCTGGGCGGCTCCTCGGGCAAGAGTGAGTACTACGGCTCGCCGGCGAGCGTGGAGGTGAAGGAGGAGACCGAGTCGCTGGCGTCGCCCTACAGCGAGCCGCGCGTCCCGGCGCTACCCTCAAGCGCGGGCTACTTCGAGCCATATGACCTGCAGGACACCGGCGACATGCTGTACGGCGGCGAGACGGCGCAGAACCAACGATTCTTCGCCACGGAAGCGGGCCACAGGACGAGCTCGGTGCTGAAGCGCGCCTTCAGCGGCGAACCGCACGGCGACGTGGCGAAGAGACGGAGCCTGATGGATGACGAAGGGACGTCAGAGAGCCTCATCGGCAGGCTCAGCGATCCGCAATCTGGTGAGTTCGCTCAGAAGACTCGGCAAATTGACATTTTTCGTTTGCGGAGTAGTGAGTTAATTGAACGCAGTGATTCCTTTTGCGCAGAATACTAGAGAATAAAGAACTTGAATGTATGTGATTAATTTACGGAATTCTTTTTGTTTCACGTAAGACTTTGATTTTGTCAGTGAAAGTCTCACCAAAGTTGGTAGAGTCAGAAGATTTCTATTGATTATTAGTAATTATGATGTTTTAAGCACAAGAATGTTCTAAGCTCTAGTTGAATTCTAAGATTTTCATTAGCGAAATTGGTTAAATGTCAAAAGACGATTTAATTATTCTAAAAACAGCTGAGAGACTTTAATTTATTGGTAGTTTGTAATTGTATGCAAATTGCTAAATAACTATTAGAAATCAAATGCCTTTGTGAATCATAACATTGAAATCACACTTTGGCAAAATCCTGATGAACACTTTAGACTGAAATTCTCTTTCATCGAAATTGTTAGAAACACATTATTCAAAGTGGTGAAAGAGTCTGAAGAAAGCCATAATAAATATGACTTTTCCTTCAAAGTCTCTCTAAAAACCAATAAAAATGCAACACTAAAGCAGTGCAAATACGGATCTAATTGCTTCACTTGCTTGCAGATCTGGCTCAGGAGCTGCCCAGCTCCTTTAAGGCGCTGGATCAGTCGCTGATGAAGATTGAAGATGCCCTGAGAGAACAGCGTTATCCCATCTCTGCATCAAATACTCATCAACTCGAGGAAATTATCGTAAGGGTGGAGAATTCGTGAATTGTGACGCTTTTATCAAGTTAAATATTTTATTGAGTGTGGGAGAAAAATGTGAAAGCGGGAGGAAAAAAAGGAAGGATAAAGCGTTGACGGTGATTTTGTCTCGCGGGATTTCGCGTCACATACAATATTTCTCGAATTATACGGGAAACAGTATCAATCTTGAGCCCGTGCAACTTTCCCTTTTCTGTTCTCACGGGGATTGCGCGAGCGGGTGTTTTATAATTTTGGCGGCAAAAGGGCGGCGCAAGTTTTCTGGTGCGGCGAAGTTTGTGACACTTTTCAGGTCAATTTTGTGTTTTTGTTTTCTGGAGTAAAATAAATCACCATTGAGTCTCGGCGTGATTTATTGTGACAAGGAAAGGCGCTGCGGTGAATAATAAATGGTCAATTTTGGGGATGAGATAAATTTAATATGAAAAAGCCTAATAAAAAAACAGAATACGATTCGATTGGATCTGTTTTCACTGGCGAAGACCAATGAATTTTAATGCTTTTTGAGATGTGTTTTCACATCAATTTTGCACTCATTTCCTTAGGTTTCATTGCTAATATAAATCGTTAACGATTGTGAAATTCGGGGCGATATTTTCCATTGTGATAATTGGTCAGAAAATGTTATTAAAATTGGTGGGATAAAAAAACATGGTGGGGGAAATAAAATTTATGTTGATTGACATTGTTTGATGTTTTATAATTACATATTTCTCTATCATTAGATAAATTGTGTAATTTGTGTCCTTAAGTAAACAAATTGAGAAACTAATTCATTTCCGTTTGCCACAGGAGGAGCACCAAGAACAAAGGGAGATTCTGCAGTCGATTCAGCAGGAGTTCCACTCGAGAATGAGCGAAAGCCGCCCTTTGCCAGCCTCTTCGGATGCCCAAGCGGACGCCGGCGGTTCGATTGTATACAGAAGAATCAGCGGCGGCGGGAGTAGCGGCGGCAGTGATATTGGCAGTGGCAAATGATAGAGAGCAGAGTTTGCGTGGCGCGCGGGAGATGAAAAATACCTCGTTAGAAGTCAACCTAAGCAGATTTAGATAAAATTCACTCGGTTATTTATTTTACTGAAGAAAGAAAGAAAGAAGGAAGAACTCCTTATTGCAGTGGCGTTGAGGGGATATTTCAATTTTTATCGTGTTGAGAGTTTTATTTTTTATCAATTTAGAATATAAGATCTCGTGAGGAGAAATTGTAACTATTATTATTTGTTTTCAATCAGAATGATTTAGTGGTGTCTATTTTACGATATATTCACTGTATTAATCAGCGGAATAAGATTATTTAGTGAGACAGACAGAGAGAGAAATGAGAGAAAATCTACAAATTTTGTGGTGGATAAGTTGAGTAATTATTACAATTAGATATTCGCGAGAGAGAGTCTTAAAAGTCTCCACAAAAAGTACAATAAGAGAAAAGGGGAGAAAAGGAAATAAGAGAAAAAGGAAGAGGAGGAAAACTACTATATTGGACTTTAGATTAAGGTTTTAAGAAAAAAAAAATGCATTGACGACAAAATGAAAATACACAAATTTTTTTAGAATTAATGACAAAAAAACAATTCAATATTCACGTTTTAAACTACACAAGAAAAAGAGAATCATTTTAGTAGGTAAAAAAGCATAAAAAGCAGAGAATGTAGAAAAAAAATGAGTGAAAAAATCGGTATTACTATTTTTATAAATCTGATACAGAAATTTTACTAATATTTAGTAATTGAGATGAAAATGCAACACAAATATTTCCATACAACACTTTTACAACATGACGAAGAGGTAAAAGAGAGAAAGAGAAAACACGTGAAAACAATTAAACGACAGTGAATGATTTCGAAGGAAAATTGATGCTTTTGCATTGACAGCATAACATTCCATAGAAAGTTTTTTCGGGGTTATAGAGAAAATAAAAGGGAAAATATGTAATTTTCGTGGACGTTTCTTTTCTGATGAAAACAAAAAAGGCTCAAGCAAAAAAAGGAGTTGTAGTTTGAAGAGGCGATTAGATGTAAAAGTAGCTGATAAAGTAGTTGTTGTTCTGAGGTAAATAACAGAAGGATAAATAAAAAAAAATGTTGACATAGTGATGAAAATTGTGTAAAATTTAAAGGTTTCTCAGTGTGCATTTTAACTGGCCAACGAAAATATATATTGAAGAAAAGAATCACATTTCTCATCTTCTTGCATTTTTTCCTAATTATACAAAAAAAAAAGAAAGAAAGATAGAGTGAGAGAAAAAAGTAGCGAAACAGATGAATATTTTTCAGACAAACTTTGAAAAGTTAATAATAAAAAAAGAAAACCAAGATGATGATGTTGTGTTGTAAACAATTTGATGAGGAAATACGAGAAGAGATATTTTAGTAAAAAAAAAAGAATATTCATATACACGCAGATTGAAAAAAAAGAAGAAATAAATGGATATTTTCCTCCGCAAAAAAAGAGATGTATGTAATTGTACGAAATTGCAAAGACTGCGATCAGTTAATTACTTATTTTAGTGGAAAAATCAAGAAAATTTAATTGTTGGAAAACAAAAAGTAGCGGAAATTGCGTTAAAGTGTAGTTGGAGGAAATATTGTGAAAATGAAAAGAGAAAAAAATACTATAAATTATCAGTGAAGAGAGAGAAAAGTGTAGAAAAGGGAAAAAGAAAATATATTTAAATGTCCAATAATGAAGAAAAACACCATTAATGTTTCCATTTTCGCTTCTTTTTACATTTATTTATTCCTTTTTTTTCCACCTCCCACATTTAATACATATTGAGATTGCAACAATTGTTAAGTGTGTCTGTTGTCGTCCAGAAAAGTCACTTGAAAAGGAAGGGACTTCGCCTGCGATATGAAAATACTCTGAAAAAATCATCTATTTGCTCTCTTTCTCTCCATTCAAAGAGTTTTTTTTTTTATTTTCCTCCATTATTGTAATGTGTTTTTCCCCCGAGGCTTCTATATGTAACGTATTTTTCTTGCCCACGTTTAGCACCCAACATTAAATATTTATTCTGTGATTTTTCTTTATTAGAGATTACTTGAGAGAGCTTTTTATAAGTTTAAACCTCAAAATTGTATTGTTCTTCAAAGAGGATAATTTTTGTTAGAGAGCGATGGTGATAAAAATTTAAGCGCTTCTCACAAGCATCTTGCTTGTCCTTTTTGTCCCTTCAAAACTACGCAATATCTATAACTAATTCCTCTACATCCCTTTGCTATATACTTGTTATTTACACAGTGATGATTATAATCAGGACACTCTCTCTCTCTCGTCCTCTGGTGTCCAGCCATCAGTCCTACTCAATGTAGATGTCCTCGATTGGATATGCCGTCTCGATGAACTTCTGGTAGAAGCGCTGGAAAGCGCGCCTGCAAGCAAAGACACACGCGTTAGTGGGAAAGGTCGCTGGGGAGTGGAAAAATGAATTATTACCCAACAGCTTCCGCCACGGGACGCGTGGATTCGTGGCCCCTGAAGACGTGACATGCGAATCTCTGCACTGTTGGGTGCTTGGTGATGAAGCCAATATAGCGATTGTCTCTGCACAGACAATAATAAATGATTAGAATGCCTCCGGGGATTATTTTAACGCTACTTTATGGCCACTCTGTGGCTTCCTTTCGCCCCTCACAGACTGTCACTGATGAATTTTAATTTTGCCCATCAACTCGATATCTCGCCACTCTTCTTTCCCAGACTCCCACAGAATCGATGCTGGCTGAATTTAATAGCTGCCGGATTTACTGGGGATATTCGGGCACATTAAGTGAGTGATGTTTTGCGCTGGCCTTTTATGGCGATTTCCTCATTTTTCGCGTGAAAATTGCAGATAATTCAGAAGTACTGCGAGACTCACAATCGAGAAGGTTCCAGATAGACGAATTTATTTGCTCCTTATTGCTCTAGAAGCCATAATTCCGCATGAGAGAAAATGAGTTTCTTTCAAAGCATGAAAGAGTGCCAAATGATCGAGGATTAAGAGAGAAATTGTGTCTCTCAATTCGTTTCTTTAATCTCATAAAAAGAAGGAAAAGAAATTCGTCAAATGAAGAAATGCTGCAAAATTATTAATTGAAGGAAGAAGAAGTGTTCTTGTTTTGTTAATAATCCTTATTTTTTCTCCCCGAAAGAGAAATTCAACTTGATTTTACAATTATGAATGTTTAATACGATAGAAAACAGCATGTTGAAAAGGATAAAAGAGAAATTTCACGGAAGCCACGCCCACTCGGATGCTCCGCCTCATAAAACCGCCACGTTTCCTACTTGTTCCTTTACATATTTCATGAGCAAATGTCAGGAATGATTTATTATTTCCCTCTTTCACTTAATGAATTCCCTTTTAAATCCTCTGTGAAATCCTTCTTCTCGCCTTTCACGCCATTTCAATGGATCTAATCTTCTGCGAAGCCCTTAAACGCACATTGTGGCGATAGTATTGATTTCCCAGCGTCCTCCCGTGATTTCTGCGGCGCGCACGACAGTGAGGAGCGAAATGTGCACTCACCTCGGGTCGAAGGAGATGAAAGAGACGTTCTTGAGCGAGTAGAAGAAGTCCATGTGCGGCCCCTTGCGGTCCGGCGGGCGCGCGCGCTCCAGCATCCGCAGCCCCTGGTCGCTGACCTCGAGGATGCACGGCTGCGCCTGTGGCGAGTCGCCGGAGCGCGCCAGGATCTTCCGCACGGCCTGGCACACGACGCCCGTGCCCTTGTGCGCCAGCGTCTCCACGGAGCCTAGGTAGCCGAGCAGGTAACGCTCGCGCTTGGCCTGCTGCGCGCCCGGATCGAAGTCATTGTACTCCAGGTCCACGGCGTACGCCGACGGGAAGATGCCGTGGCGGCCGGTGCGCAGGTTCACGCCCTCGCACCACAGGTCGTCCGCCTCCTTCTCCACGTACACGGCGTCGCCGATCTCCAGCTCGATCTCGTCGTGGTGGCGAGGCAGGAACTTGTGCAGCGCCCGGTGCGTGGCCTCCAGCAGTTCCAGCCGCGAGTAGAGCGTGCCGCCAGCGGGTGGCGGTGACATGCTCTTGAAGTCGGTGGGCGAGTGCGCCGTGGAGTGGCCGCTGTCCACGTCGCCGAGGCTGTGCAGGCGCTCGCTGTCCGGGCTCGAGTCCTCGTCCAGCAGATAGCCGCACTTCAGCGCCAGCACCGAACGCTGCCCGGCCGTCTTCATGCCCAGCTCGTCTGCCAGCGACGTCTGGCTGCACATTACCATGATGGAAGCTGCAACGGTAGATTCATTGAACGCCGGTTACGATTAGAAAAACAATATGACGCCCTTCCTTTGGTGAAGGACCTTGTGAAGGACTTTAGATGAGATTACCGAATTAATCTGGATTGTTACTGTAATGCCACGGATAATAAAGCAAAATTGCATTTTATCTCTTTAATTGCTTAACAAATTTCCCGTTTATCACAATTTTAAAATCGACTGTCTAAGGACGAATTAGTTTATATCAGTCCTATTTACCCCCTAAAATTGTATTGGAAAAGGAAATTGTGCGTATTTAGTATCGATAAGTGTCGATAAATACAACCAGTTCAACGTAAATAAAAGCATGTTTAGAGGAAAAATGCGTCATGCTTCTGACTCATGATTTTGAACATCTAAAATGCACATTATAAGATTTTATGCAGATAATATTACGTCTAATAAATCTATGGTAATGCTTTTGCATATATTTTTTAAGTTTCTGCAAGTCTAATTAGTATTGTGAAAACTTTAGTTAAAGATTTGAATTCTAAATGAAGAAAGACTCGAGTTTTCTCGTGTGGAAAATTATTAGAAGAGTTTCTGGACAAGATTGAAGTTGAAGAGATTTCAAAGAAATTTAGTGGATAAATTTGATAGAATAACAGTCATGAAAATACACGAAATTAGATATGAATTTTTTATAAGCATTTCAGCTGAAATCATGTTGTTTTTTTCCTTGGAAAATTGTATTAAGAAGTCATGTGACAACATCAATGAGTCTTCCTTAGGCCATCTTTTCTCCTTACTGTAAAGTGTTTGCGGGCACTTTAATGCCTTTTCAGCGCGACTTTAGAGTTTGTACAAAACGAGAAGCCTTTTCTTCGTCATCGGATTTGACGTCATGGAAAGAACACTTGTTATAAATCCTCATTCCGCCGTTCTTCGTTCAGGTGATTTCGATATTTCATGCGAGATAAATGTGGGCTTTAACTCGATTTATCGCCTTCGCACAGCTATTTTTGGCCACTCACATTTCTTGTTTTTGGGTATTTCCGGAAGCTTTCGTCGGCGCCGCTCTGTGCTGCCAGACATGAAGGGAAGGGAGTTAGTCCTGGCCAGTACCGGCGCCTGCAGCGTCTGAGTCCGCAGCCCGTCGCCAATCTCGTCGTCCTCGGCGCCACTGCTCAGCGCGATCTGCTGGCCCAGGAATCCTCCGTCCGCGCTGCTCTTGTGTGGCGTCGCTGCTCGCGGATCCGCGCCGCCCTCCTCGCAATCCGACGCGCTGGAGTCGCTCTTGGGCGACGGCGATGGCTCGCCATCGTCCAGGCCAGGAACTAGTCTGCAAGATTCCAAGACATTTCGTCAGCTGCACAGAAATCCTTGGCAAAGTCCGCCCAACTCTTCACTCTTCCAGAGCAGCTGTGCACTGGAAATCACACCAGAATCCCGCCCAGGAGCGCTTAAAGAGCGAACTTACGAGTAGAATTGAGCTGGAGTCTTGAGGTGGTTCGGGAAGTGCTCAAAAATCTGGCGAAACTCCTCAAACTCCGTGTCTGCCATTTTCACTACACACGTTCCTTTTTAGAGCAAATATCGATTTTCCACGCTCTCGTCAGATTTCCGCCCCTCTTCGTTTGGGGACTGAGTGCTAGAATTTCAACCCCTCTTCGAAAAGGGTGCGTCGGCACAACAGCGCAGCAAATTGCGCTGTTTGCGTTCAAATGTGTTTTCCAAACGGATTTCCAGGAAACTCACTAAAGAGCAGAAATGTTAGTGAGAAATGAACAGTTTTTTTTTATTTATTTTCAAAACACGATTCACGACAAACGAGCTTTATTTCCACGAAATAATTTCCTTTGATGTTTAGTGAGAATTATAATTTCAGTCACTATTTGAAAATGGCACAATTTGGTTCTGCTGGAATTCGCTCAATTTTCCTCCTTCTTCTGGTTTTCCAGATCTTCGGTATATTTTCTTAACTTGAGTTTGAGTGTGTGAATAAATTGAGATTTCTCTTTATTCTAGCTTCTTCGACAGCGCTAATAGAGGAAGCTAGAGCTTTGGCAAGTCAAGTTGAAAGTATGCATTATTTCCATATGTTTGAGTATGTTTTATATATATTTTATTTTTGTATTTCGAAGGTGTTGTGACAGGTCTTATTGCTGCGCTAAAAACGGTAATGGACACCCTAAATAATACACGTAAGTTGAGAATTTTATACTATATTAAAATGTACGTCTGCAATTCACAAGATTCGACTCAATCTATCACAGCAAAGAATTTTTTTGTATAATCGAAGTGTTTATAAAAAGTTAGAAATGTTAGATAGTTACAGCTTTTACACATGAAAAATAATATCTGCATTATATATCGTTTATTCCAGTTTAAAGAATTGATTTTGCCTAGTGTGAAAGGTCTGAGACTTTGTTTGAGAATTATTATTGATAATAGCAAATTAATTATTAGCTTCATCTCAAGTCATACGACTGACTATTGTTTTTCTTGATCTCTTTCAGTTTCTCCGATAATAATATCAGCACTTAATGCAGTTTTGGCTCCATTCGGAAGTACGCAATGAGATTGTCTTTAAGCCTTATGATAATGTTAATTTGTTTCATTCTCTGCAGTGGGTGTGACGGAGTTTTCAGAACTGGTGAAAAACTTAGTATCTACGTTAACAGCACTTTTGGGCGGTTTAGGCAAGTTGTTGTAGATTCATATCAAGCACACAGTCTTTTACAATATAGCAATTTCTAGGCCTGAATCCTCTTGTCCAAGGATTGTCTAACTTTGGAATTTCATTTGCATGAGCTGCCCAAAATACTTACAGGACCTGAAAATGGCGCAATAATTAAACCGGATTTCTGACGTGAAAATATAAATTTAGATTGTCGAAAACCAACATTGATGAATAAAAGTGTTAAAGTTGCATTTTTTTTTCTTTTCGCTACCACAAAAATTCCCTTCCTGCGTAGCTTAAGTACTCTGATTAGTTTCTGAGTCAGTGAATTTCTTAGTAATTCATTAGCCAACAGTTGGCAACGGAACGATTTTTCTACCCGTAACACGATTCACGACATTCGAGGTTTCCAATCACGAAAGAATTTGTTATAATCGAGCTTCAAGAGTTTAGTGAGAATTGCAATTTCAGTTACAAGTTGAAAATGGCACGTCTCGGTTCTGCTGAAATTTGTTTAATTGTCCTTCTTTCCCTGTTTTTCCAGATATTCGGTACACTTTCTTTGAGTCACTTAAATTGAGTTTTGGTGACATTTTATTCATTTCCAGCTCCTGTGACGGCATTTTTGGATAAACTGGGCATTGGAAATATTGGTACTTCTTTGAGCCAAGTTCAAGGTATATTTCTTTATAGTTTATGTTAAAGAATGAACAAAAAATATGCGTTGTTTTGTTCTTCATACTTCAAAGGTGGCACAACAATTGCAACTATTGTACTCCAAAAAATCGTTGAAGCGATAATGAAATTAGTCGACGTCTTGTCTGATTCGTGTGAGTTTCAGAATATTGTTCTAAATATAAAGTTGAATTTGCTTTTCTAATGGTGAAAACACAGCATTTGTAATTTGTAATTTGTCCACGATCATCTCTTTCTTCCCCACGCGTATCGTGTATTTTCCTTCCTACTCGCACAGTGGCTGTCTCGACATGTCAGAGTCAGACGCTGACAGAGTAGGAAGGAAAATACACGAAACGCGAGGGGAAGAAAGAGATGATCGTGGACAAATTACAAATTACAAATGCTGTGTTTTCACCATAAAAAACCGTGTTGAATAATATCCGTTTTTCTAATTTTTTTTCAGTTTCTGCAGCAATTTTGTCTGCACTTGAAGCCATTTTTAATGCATTTGGACGTACGCAAATAAATCATTTCTTAACATTTCACATACTGTTAATAACTTATTTTCTTTCTTATTCCTCGCAGTTACTGTGGCGCAATTAGTTACAACGTTGCAGGGAATAGCCGGTATGATAGAAATGATATTATCTTTAGGCAAGTTTGAGTATTTCATTGATTATTATGGATTTTACAAGCTATTTCTTATACAAATAGGCCAAATGGGCATTGAGGGTCTTCTGTCACAATTCACATGAGTTATTTGGCATCTTTCGGACAATAAAATCTGGACTTCTGACGTGGAAATCTTAAGAAATAATATTGTCAAGAGTCGAGAATAACTAATAAATGTGTATAAAAATGCATTGGATTTTTTACAGCCACAAATTCACAGAAATAAGGAAGGAAGACTAGAAGGAAAGCATTGTAGGCAATCATAAAGAATTAGCAACTGAGTAATTTCTTTTTCGTTCAAAAACACGACAAACGGGCTTTATGGCCACGAAATAATTTGTCTTCACTTTTAGTTAGATTTACAATTCAAAGAAGGAAACATTTTTAGTCACAAGTTCACAGTTTATTCATTATGTCGGAGTCTCAAATCAACATTGATCAATAAAAGTGCATCTTATTTGTCTTCCTTGTGCAAAATATTGCCTATTGAGGAGCTTCTTGAGAATGCAAGGAATTCTCTCGTTGCCTTCTGTAAACAATTTGATTGATTTTACGCAGCATTCAGTGCGACGCTGAAAGGCACGAGTCTTCGTGGCTCCGCAGCTCGTCTGCTCACTTTCCTCGTCCGTGAATCCTTTTCTCAGCCTCTTAACCCAGTTTGCGAGGTGCGTTGGCGGCCGAGCAAATGTTGCCAGCATCCTCAGCGCCTCTGATAAGGAGACAATGACGAGAGATGTTCTATTTCGGGCGCCCAAATGCGGGCGCTCAAAGAGATTCTGTGGCGCGACACTCGACGGTCCGTTGGCCACAGAGAAAGACTCCAGCGTGCATTTCCCCACAATTGGGCGAGCAATCTTATCTACAGCTGAGATTATGTACATAAATTTGCGGTATTTGGGCATCTTGGCTCGCAAGATTGCCAGGAAGATTGATTTCTGGAAGGATCGTTAGAATTTAGTAAAGGTTATGTGAATTATTCCTAACGATTTTGACACATTATGAATGCTCTTAAATAGAATTATCTCAATAAATATAATTCACAGAGAGAAAAATGTCATTTCAATGGAATTTTCTTTGAACTCTTTCGTTAATTTCAATCAAATTCATATTTTTACAATGTTTTTTTTATGAAAATGTATCAAAATCTCAAAACTGGGACAACAAGAGAACTCCAAGGAAAGAATTCAACTCAAGGAAGGACAAAGACTAAAAGTCAAGATGCGAATTTTGCAACAATTTTCAGACTCACTGCAAATGCTTAACCCTTTTTCTCGAGCACTCTGCTAATAAATCCACCTCTATTCCTTCGTCTCCTTCCCACCCTTGCGCTGTGATAAATGCGTTGATGGCATTTGCCATGTATATATGCGAGGGTGAAGAGCTGCCCGTTAAGAAAATTAAATACAGCTCTTATCCATTTGATAGTTGAATTGATTCTCGTGTAAGTGAAACACTCGATGAATCTCTTTTGGGGAAGAAATCCACCCACGCTTCGTCCACCTTTCTCACTGCGGAATAAATTTCCACCGCAGCCTTTTTCCTCAAGGGAGAGGATTTCCTTGTCTCTATATTGCACGATATTGAGATTCGCCAGGAAAGTTCCTTTGAGCTCTGCTTCGCTACAGATATCGCTGCACTGAGAGGAATTTTTTTGGCAGAAGTGCAGCGATCTTGATGTGGAAATTGCGTCCTGAAATCCTTGATGTTGCGTGGGAATTTTCTCTCAGTGCTGTGGCAGAAGAGGAGGAAGAATGTCCTCTCGAGGAGGAACTTTTGTGCCCGTTTGCAGAAGAATGGTGTTTAAATAATATCCTGACTTTCCTCTGATTCAGCCAATCACGGCGCCGCGCGTGACGTCGGCGATGCCATCACGAGATGCGCGCCTGAGTGGCGGTATAAAAGAAGCGCCTCGGCCGAGACTCCAGTTCAGTCGCGGGAGAGGAGCGCACAGAGCACAGAGCGATGAGTGGGTCCGGAAAGGGGCTTCTGGGGCTGTGGCTGTACCGAAGCGGTGAGCAGGAGTGGGCCGTGAAGGAGGGTAGCCCGCTTCACCGCCGCCGCGATTTCGCGAAGAAGGAGCCCGCGGGCAACTCGGCGTCGCCGGGCGACAGGACGTGCATCATGTTCACGCTGAAGAACCAGGTGGGCGGCCTGGCGCGAGCGCTGCAGGTGTTCCAGGAGCTGGGCATCAACGTCCTGCACCTGGAGCTGCAGAATAAGGATGCCGTGAAGGAGCAGGCCGACGTGCTGGTGGACATCGAGTGCGACTCCAAGCACCTGGACCACGTCATCCGGATGCTGAAGCGCGAGGTGCAGTCCGTGAACCAGGTGAATGCGTCGTCGGAGGAGTTTCCGCCGCCGACGCCGCTCTCCGCCTGCACGAGCTTCGGTGAGTGGAAATTTACCTGGTGAACTTGACTCTGTGGCTTTGCGGTAGGAGATTGGTAATGAAGAGAGACAAGTTTGCGAAAGCAATTCGGGTGCGAGAAAGTGTTTGGAGGTGAAGAAAACCCCGAAGACAATTAACAAGTTAGGGGATTAGAATTGATAAAGTTCCCGACGGCGAAATTCACTTGACGCTTCATTCGGAAATCTCACATTAAATTTCAATGTTCAAAAGAATAGTAAATAATTTAATTGGCTTAAGTTTAAAATCAGTTTGTGCACTAGAAGCAAAGGTTTGGTTGTAAAAGTACAGAAGACTTTAAACATCGCTAAATCGCCTAAGTAATTTTCGGCGGAAGGAATAAATCATTTTAAATATAAGAAAAGGGTTGATAAAATAAATTTTTGGACATTTGAATTTCGTCTGAAAACAATCAAAGTGGAATGTAAAAAAATAGTTCAGTAAAATCAAAACAAGTGATAAATCAAAGAAAAAGTGAAATAATTGTTCTGAAGTCCTTAAAATCGTTAGAGTAGTTTTCAGTACACAATATTTATTTTTATAGCTCAATCCATCAATCACTGCACGTCTTAATGAATCAGCCTTGCCACTCATAATTCACTTTATGATTCATTAAAGTTATACGACAGCAAGTCCTCTCAATATTGTCTCAGCAAGGAAGAGCTGCACTTGCAAATGAAATGCTCGTTTATTGAATTTCTGCAAAATCGAGTATAAATAAACTTCTGTATTCCAATTTATCCCGCTTGATTTCGGAGAGACAAATTGAATTTAGGCGCTTCATTAGTTGCCTCTTGTTGCCAGATTTTGGCGAAATGCACTGGTTTCCAAGGAAGATTTCCGACTTGGACAAGGCGCAGAATGTGCTGATGTACGGCTCGGATTTGGACGCGGATCATCCTGGCTTCAAGGATCCAGTGTACAGGAAAAGGCGCGAGCAATTCGCCGCCATTGCGCAATCCTACAAGCAGTGAGTCACTTTGGGTCTGCCAAATCACCCTCAAAGCCTACTTTGGTGTATCTTGTTGCAGCGGTCAACCTATCCCGAAGATTCAATACACCGAGGAGGAGATCCGGACGTGGGGCACCGTCTTCCGGGAGCTGCACCGACTCTACATTCTGCACGCTGTTCCGGAGTACATGGAGAACTGGCCGGCCCTCGTTAAGTACTGCGGCTATCGCGAGGACAACCTGCCACAGTTGCAGGACGTCAGCGCATTCCTGAAGCGCAAGACTGGCTTTCAGTTGCGACCTGTGGCAGGATACTTGAGTCCAAGGGATTTCCTCTCCGGACTCGCTTTCAGAGTCTTTCACTGCACTCAGTACATTCGGCACTCTTCGGATCCCTTCTACACTCCTGAGCCTGATTGCTGTCACGAGTTGCTGGGTCATATGCCACTGCTGGCCTGCTCCAGCTTCGCGCAGTTCTCGCAAGAGATCGGACTCGCTTCGTTGGGCGCGTCAGATGACGACATCGACAAGCTGGCGACGCTGTACTTCTTCACTGTTGAGTTCGGCCTCTGTCGCCAGCCCGATAACAGCTTCAAGGTCTTCGGAGGTAGGTTTGTGTAGACTTCATTGCAGGATCAGGTGATTAAAATCTCCTTGCAGCCGGCTTGCTGTCCTCCGTTGCTGAGCTGCAGCACGCCATCACGACAAAGGCCAAGATCAAGAGATTCGATCCAGACGAGACTTGTCGCGAGGAGTGCATCATTACATCCTATCAGAATGCGTACTACTACACAGACTCCTTCGAAGAGGCTAAGGACAAGATGAGAAAATTCGCAGAAACCATCCAGCGTCCTTTCGGTGTCCGCTACAACCCTTACACGCAGAGCGTTGACGTCCTGTCCAATGCCCAGAAGATCACAGCGCTCATCAGCGAGCTTCGCGGGGATATCAGCATTGTATCCTCTGCTCTGAGGAAGATCTCGGCACAGGACGCCAACTTAGACGTGCAGTCTATCGCAGAAATGCTGCAGACCAATATAAATGCAAGTCCTTTAATGAAATTTAAATGGTGAAAAGATTTAAGGACATTTTTGTCGTTTCAGGTATGTGAAAAGAGTCCCATGATAAGTCCTGATCGGAGTTCTGATAGCTCGCAAGAGGAGAAAGTGACGAAGGACGGCAGTCGCCATCGAGAGGACAATAATGAGGAAATTGTAGACAAGTAGACCAATTTATGGGACCAAAGATGTTTTCCTTCTCTGGATGTTAAGTGTGTAAAAGTATCCGTAGATGATCAATAAAGACATTGTCAGCAGAAAATCGCCAGCATCCTTGACGGGACATTTCGCACGACACTCCGACGCGTGGGCAGAACGCGCGGTCAGTCTCGCTGTGGCCGCGCACTTCGACCGGCCGCCACCGGCTCACAACTCTGGCGCCACGATGCACTCTCGTGTCGTCCCTGTCGCACCACCGTCCGCGGCACCCCGTCTCTTTCGCGCCGTCCTCCATTACATTCCTGTTCCAGTGCTGAGCATCGCGATGCGGGCGTAATCGGTGGAATTTTCCCCAGGAAAAGCCGTGAAAAAGAGTGCCTTCTGAGTGCCCGTGCTCGTGCGTGGCGTGATTCGTGTGTGCCGTGAAGTGTCTTCTCCTCGTGCAGCGACGACGCCTACCTGTTTACCTTTTTTGTGCGGTCAAAACAAGTGAGTGCAACCTTTCAGGTACATTTAGGCCCCTCGCGCGACCCTTGCACCCCATTCCGACGCACTTCTCGGAACGCTGCACTCTCCCTGATCACCCTGGCGAGCGTCTGTGGCCCCCTGTGGGCCGTGGCGCTGCCCAGAGCCCCGGAATTGTTGCAAAACGGCGAAAGGTGCAGGGTTCATTGAAATGTCACGGCAACCTGTGGATTCTTGTTTTTATATACGCATGACGACGCCCGTGGAGAGAGCATTTAGGGGAGTTTTGACGCTGAATTAGGGCTCAAATATCATCTACATGGGTCATTGCGATTCCAAACAACCCTCCGAATGACTGAAATAAGCTTATTATGCCTCTGAAATGTGTTTTTGTGCATAAAATCATTTAACCTCAAAGTTTCACTTTCGATTTAGTTCACTTCACCAGCGTCAGCGCTCTCTCGCGACAAACACTGCATTCGCGCCACTCAACTCAAAATTTCTCTCACTCAACGACTGAACATGATTTTTTCCCCACTGCATTTTCCCGGAAAGTTCTCTGCTTCTCTCGAAGACACCCAGAAATTCTCCGAAAATATTCAATTAACCCACTGAAACGCGAGATCAAAAGATCAAGCCAGAGCGCATCTCATTGTGAGCAATGAAAATCATTTAAATTGCTTTCCGGTGGACAAATTAATAAATGTATTTGTCTAAATTCCGAGCGGCACAATTGTGGGCTTCTTTAATTGGTCAGACCCAGTGACACAAAGACGCTTGTGCTCTCATTAGGCCGGGAAGTGCTGGTCAATTAGTCGCCGGATTCGGGAAGCAAAGGTGGCGAAAGTGCGAGATTGCGATCAAAAGCACCTTCTTTGTTGGCTCAAGTGGAAAATTGGTCAATTCTGGAGCGATGGAGACTTGAGGCGAATCTTTGAGGCGCTGGACAAAAAGGTGTGAAGATTGTTGGGAAGATTGTCTAATTAATTAATGACATTAAGGCTGCATCTGAAGGAAAATAGATTTTGCGAATAAAAGTCGAATTGTTATTCATGGTCTTTTGGTTTTAGCGTTTTCTATTGATTCTTACTTAATAATTAATGAGAATTTAAAAAGAATTACTACTTGATGATGAGGAAATTATTACCAAATTTCAAGTCACAAAAATTATAAAAAGAATTTTAGGTTTTTAATTAGGTTGTAAGCTGTAAAAGTATTTCCAAAAACAAATTCTTTACATTTTATCTGCTTTCTTATATAAAGAGCTTCCTGGTTTGATAATATTTTGCGGTTATTGCTTCGAAAAGATGACTTTATAATATTTTTTGAGTCTAAATGAGATATTTACACAATAAAGCATGAATTTCGAGATAATTTTGAATAAATCTCATTGAATATATGCTGCGTTTAATTTCACACTTTCGTATTCAACATAATGAGAATTGATAGTACTTGTTACGAAAGCATATTTTGATTTCATCAAATTATTCGCGCTTCAGCTTCTGAGAAACACAAGTATAATATTAAAGCGTTATTATTAATTATTAAACTTTATTTGTGTAGTTTTTTAACCTTTCATTGAAGACATTTCTCTTCTTAAAAATCGTAGCTTTTCTTTTGCGCTCATTTTGAAGCCTTGGAAATCAAACCTGAATTTTTTCTTCAATCTCAATGAATCAATTAAAAATGCATGATTTGAGTCGTCATAATTGTCAGCACTTAAGCTGGAAGTGATGCAATATTTACTGCTTTTTGAACCGCGTTTGGCTGCATTGGCGGCATTGCGATATGTCTGCTAAACCTCCATTTATCAACCCTCCGTCGGCCAATGCGAACGCTGTTGCCTGTGGGCCTGCGATGCTGCCATTTGCGAGGCGAGGGAGGTTTTTTCGGCGGCGGAATGGAGAAAGTGTCGACGTCAGAGGGGGAACTCCGCGACTTGTCTTGCGGCATTGCGACACCCTCGCGCAATTCACTAATCGCCCTTCGAAGGAGCGCACTTCCGCTGCCTTTCCCTTTCGTTGGCCGCCCGCGTCATTTCACTTTTGCACGCAGCGATGAGGTTTTCCCTGTGATTTTCGATTGGAAATCATCTGACGGAATTCAATTACATTTGCCAATAAACATCTTCTCGTACGGGGACGATGTTCACAGCCTGGGCGATGCGTCTTTGTCGATGGCAGGCAAACACCTTCCGCAGAAGCGCCTCAACTCGAGCCTAGAGCGTCAATCTGTCGGATAAAAATGTGCGCGGCCGAAGAAAATGAGCGCAAAATCAATTTAAGCTTGAATATTTCATAAGAATAAAATATCATTCAATCAATGCCATTTCGAAAGGTATATTCCGCGCATTTTTTACATCATTCACCCCTGCTCTAAACTCTGCCCTATTCGACGATTTGCCACCCGTTGTGATGTGGAAATGGTGGTTTTTTTCAAGGGCCATCCAAGCTCACTTCTCAGTGGATTCTTCGCGGCTGTTTTTCTACTTGATTCCAAATGCCACTCGAGGGATTGACTTCCACTTTGAGGGATTTTCAGGACACAAGTTTGCCTTCCTTCCGGACGCACTTTAAGTCACGTTGCATAGGCGAAGGATTTAAATAAGTGAGGGTCAAGTGGAAGTAAATCAGGTTTGTCAACGCGACTGTTGAGAATACATTGAAACGAGCGGCATAACAATGTTTTCCAGATCATACGAATGAATTAAGTGAGACTTTGGGTTTAAAAATCATCTTATCGAATCAGTTTCACTGCACAAACTTCAAAATCGATAATTTTTAATATAATGAGATCAAGTTCGGAACCTAAGAACCGTAAAAATACGATATATGGTTTAAAAATATCCAGGTTAGGACATATTAAACAGTTTTTTTTTTTGGTATTAAACGATATGTTTGAGGTAATTGCTCAGTTTATGTCCTCTTGAAACGTTTTTTTATCCCAAAAATTGCTAGAAACCGAACAAAAACCGTTGAAAAAAAACGTGTTAGAATGGAATAATGCAAAAATATTAGTAAAATAATCAATTAGTTCTTTATTTGTTTTGCAGAGAAACAATTTTCAATGTATAACTACAAAAAATAGAGCATTTAGAAATTTTACAAATCTCAAAGATCTTAAATACTAATAGTAATTTGTGTTGTAGTTATTGAAAAGGTTCAAAGTCACTAAAGTAAATTTGCACATTTGCTAAGCTGTTGACAGATAATCTTTTATATTAAATTCGCTTTCCGCCCTCGTGCGATTGTTGAGAGATTTGAAGTCATATCTCGAAAATCAATTGCGCCCTATTTTAAATGAGAGGCACTTTTGAAGATCGAATGGAAAACCGCATGGTAATCCTGCGCTGCAACCCTCGTGCGCCCCTTTCATTGTTATTATTCCAATTGTGTTGGCGACGACAAAAGGACTCGCCCGCCCATCTGTCATAAAAATATCGCTATTAGAGAATTCATTCAACTCCACACATGGATTTTCATATTATTTTAATAATTAAATTCGGCAATTAAATTTATCGTGAATGCCGCTCAGTGTGCGACTTCAGCCCTTGATTTTTTCCGCTCCTCCTGGGCATTCGCTGGCACGGCGACATGGTGTTCTTGCTGCTGGTTCTTGCATATTTTCGTTTTGTGTATTGAGAGTTGTAATATTGTAATTTCAATAACGGCATGATCAGTGTTCAATTTAAATTGGCTAAAGCAAACATTTCTTCTGTGCCCTCTCACATAATGTGAGCTGAATGAATAAATTGTACATTTTGAACGATTGTTGGTTGCATATCGTGATTAATCACGAAATTGTTGTATAAACAACTAGTAACTTCCACTATGCTTCCAACTCTCCGTGCCTCTCTTTGTCGATTTGCAGCACTCTCTGACTTTTTCGGCTCGGAGTCTGGCTTCTGCTGACTTTTCTATCATATCATTATTATTGGATGATGGAGTATTGGGTATATTTTTTCACGAATCTCGGCCCAACTAGTCTATTAGGCGGCGAATTGGCCGTTTGGAAGTGGTGGAAAAAAGGGGGAGAGATCTTCTGATTCCAGCAAATAGCAATAGATGTTATGCATGCGCGAGATGCTGGAGAAGAGGTGAGAGACAGAGAGAGAGAGAAATCTGCAGCCCAGACATTTATTATGCAGAGCCAAACGATAATGATATGTTGATTAATTTCATATAATAATATTTCATATTGGGTTGTTGTGTATATTCGGTATAAAGTGAAAATTCGCCACACGATGGAGGCGAACATCGCCGTGCAAAAAGGTTAATGATAGTTAGTGCAGCACACTGGAAATTGTCTGAGAGACTTTGATTTTTCATTCATACAATAATTTATTCGTGAATTATAAAATAATAGGTCAAAATGCAAAAATTCTGCCTCAATTATTTTTTTACGCTTCAGCCTTAAACTGTGCGAAGTTCTGGAGTGCTGAGAATTGGTCGATGATTTAATAAATACAAAGGATAATTCGTATGTTCAGATGTGTAATGAGTGGGGATGATTTTTTAAGAGGGTTAAAATATGACATTAAGCTTTTGGTGTACTTTTTACACATTTATTCTAATGAATTACAGTGTATTTCTGGTGTTTAAAAAGGTTGTCTTTTTTGTTACGGTCCACTAACTATAAAATATTGACTTAATTGGACTTTTGCTTAACCCCTTAACGATTAAAGCTTATAGGAGACTTAAGTGTGACAATTATTCTGTCTAGCAAAGGATTAAATTGTAATCTTGGAATGATTCTTAAAGACAATCGAGGCAATTATATTCTAAACTAAGCCACTTTCTAAATATAAATAGTTATTTCTCTTATAAAGTGCAATTTTGAGAGAAATAGCTCACAAAGGTTTGTTATATTCGCTCTTAATGTTCTCTGCGCTGAGGTAAGAATATCTTTTGGGGAATGCATCTCATTAATATTCTAAGAACACGGTTAAAGTGCAACATTGTCAAATGGCGGAGACAAGTTCTGTTGTGGGTGTAGACTGATTTTGAGAGGAAACGTGGAAAAAT